TTATTTATTTATTTGTGTGTGTGTGTGTGTGTGTGTGGCCAGCTCAGCCCACCAGGGGGCGGGGCTGGCTGGCATGTGGTGCTGGGGATTGAACCGTGGTCCCTGATGCTTTGCTAAGATTGTTCTAAATAGGTGCTTTAGACCACTGAGCCATCTCACCAGCCCCCTGTTTGTTTGTTTATTGGCTGCAGCGCTAGGATCACACCCAGGGCCCCACGCGTGCTATGCGAGTGCTCTACCAACGGTGGTGATTTTTTTTTTTTAAACATTTATTTATTTATTGTGTGTGTGTGTGTGTGTGTGTGTGTGTGTGCAGCTCAGCCCACCAGTGGGCGGGGCTGGCTGGCATGTGGTGCTGGGGGATGGAACCGCGGTCCCTGTGCTTTGCCACGCTTGTTCCAAGTAGGTGCTTTAGACCACTGAGCCATCTCACCAGCCCCCCAACGGTGATTCTTAAAGCCAGTTTTTGTCCTGCAAGAAGTCCACCAATATCAAAACTGCAGAAAAATCCCTTATTACCCAAATGTTAGCACCTCTGCTTCACAAGACTGTCAGAGACCACTGTAAAAATAGATGCTCAACCTGCTGAAAAAGAAAAAAAAAAAAAAATCTCAGAATAGGCAGTGCTTTGCACAAAGCCAAATGTGACCTGCTGTTGGTCAGCGTCTCTGGCAGCTAGAAAACTTCATTTGGTGACTTTGTGCTACCATCTCCTTGGCCTGGCCCCTCGGCCCTCCCAGCGAACGGGAGGGAGAGGTCCCATGGCAGCAGGATGGGAATGGCTGATTACTTACACTGGAGAAGGAGGTTTTGGGGGATGAGGGGAGTGTTCAGAGCTGAAAGAACTTAATAAAGGAGTTAATGAAAAGGAGGTGGAGTTTGAAATCAGCTCCCTTTTAAAATAAATTGTGTGTGTGTGTGTGTGTGTGTGTGTGTGTGTGTGTGGCTGGGGATTGAACTCAGGGCCTTCCTACAGGGCTAACAATCCCCAACCCTTTTTCTTCAAATTGCTAAGTCACTAAATAGCTCAGGCTGGACTCAGACGCCCTGTGCCTCAGCCTCTCAGCGCACTGGGGTACAAGGCATACACCACCATACCCTCCTTTCAGCTCCCTTTTTTGTGGTCTCCCTCTTCCTCTCTTACAGATACCTCAGCTCGTAGCTTGTACTTCTAATTCTGTTGTTCACTTCAGTACAAATATTTCTCAACACTGGAGAATTATGTTTCTGGGAGGAGCCTTCACTTCTAGATGAGGATATTTAAGCTCAGATAGAAAAAGGTTTTGCCCACAGTGTTGACACATCTTCAGCTTGGGCAGGACCATAACCCAGTGCCTCATCCACCAGAAGTCAAGTCTCTTCCTCCGCTCGCAGTGAGCAGAGAGACTTCTGTGAAGTAGCTGTGTGGGGCTGGTGCCTGGGCAGTGCCAGAGCAGGAGAGATGGAAAAAGGCTCGGGCTGCAGAAGGTTGCTTTTGGAAGAGCTGCATTTTATCCCCCTTACTCAGCTGGGAGTCCCTTCAGCTGCCCTCACAGCCTCCTGGGTGTATGGGGGAGGAGTGGTGGATAAGCGGTGAATGGTGGGTCATCATGGATTCCTTAGACTCTGTTTGAAGGTGAGGGAGCCCTCCAGACTGGTGGTGGGGGGTGGGGGTGGCGGCACACACCTGTGATTCCAGCCTTCTGGGAGGCTGAGGCAGGAGGATCACTACAAGTTTGAGGCCAGCCTGGGCTACAATGTGAGCTCAGGGCCTGCCTGGATTACAGTGGTGATACTCTGTCTCTAAATTTTAAAAAAGGAGAAAAAAAAAAAAAAGGAAGGAAGGAAAGAAAGAAGGAAATTAATTAATTAATTAATTAATTGAGGGAGCTGGGCTTTCAGGTGAGGAGCTGAAAGTACTCACTAGGGAAATGCATGCCTGAATGTGACTGGGCCATCCTGGTGTTCTCGGGAAGGGACATGTGTTTTGGTGGAAAGCAAGGGAGGTGGGCTGGTGGGTCAGACCAGGAGAGTGGGGGTGGGGGGAGTGAGCTAGTTTTCTGGTGTGTGGCTGCTGCTTGGCTTTGGCTGGGAGCTTGAAACAGCTCTTCCCACTGACTCAGTGTGGTTGCCCTGGTAACGAGGTGCTTGTTGCTAGGCACTGGGAGCCGGTTCACCATCCTAAGGCCTTGGCTGGGATATGCTGCAGGTTGCTGTGTGACCTTAGCCCAGAGGCAGGGGCAGCTCTGGGTGGCTGCTGTTTTCCTCTCCCTGCTGCCCGCCCCAGTGCTGTCTGCTGTCCTTATCTGCCTGCAGAGTTTGACCATATATGTCATTTTTGGGGCTCCAGGAATGCAGCTGGCTCTGGAACAGCCTCTTCTCTGGGCTTGGCTTGAGCAGTGGGGCTATACTGAAAGTGCCCCCTGTCTTCCAGCAAGCCTGTGGTGGGGGAGGGAGGAGTAGGGTGCCCCTTCCTGGCTCCCATGTCCCAGAGTGGAGAATCCTGGTTCCCATGTCAGGCCTTTTCCTCACTTTTTCTGGGACCATGGTTTTTCTGGTCATCCCTGGCCATAGGAAGGGGTGGAGTAGCCAGGGCCATAGCTGGCTTTCTTTTGGATGTGGCATTTTGAGATCCTTAGATGCTTCTTTGTTTTGTGAGAGAGGCTTGCTATGTAGTTCAGGCTGGCCCTGAACTTACTATGTGTCCCGTGCTGGCCTCAAAGTCGCAGTAGTCTTTCTGCCTCAGCTTCCTGACTGCTGGTACTATAGGGATGCGCCAGATTACAACTAGGAGATTCTTAGATTCTTGGAACATCTCCGTGCCTGTAACTGCTGGGATCTGTGAGGCTTCCATGCACCAGGACCCATGAGGAGAGGATGGTGGGCCTCGGGCCTCTGCCGCTGCGCGATAAGGACAGGTGGGCAAGAGGCAGTGTGGGACCGGCTCGGCGCTTCCTCCCCAGCTGAGTGCCTGAACGGAGGTGCTGAGCTGGGGTACCCTCTGCCATCTGTCCTTTCTGGCATTGTGCTCCTGGAGCCTTGCAGGCTGAGAAGTGTTGAGGAACAGGAGTCCGGGGCTAGGCAGGGGCTGTTGGGGTCTAGGAGATGACCGAGGGGTCCCTGACCCTGCCCTGCCTCCCTAGGTTCGTCTCAGGCTCTGCAATAGGCCCGGCCATGGACCCGCTCTCCGAGCTGCAGGATGACTTGGCCCTGGATGACCCCAGCCAGGCCCTGAACCAGCTCAAGCTGGCCTCTATTGACGAGAAGAACTGGCCCTCGGATGACATGCCTGACTTCCCCAAGTCAGGTGGGCACCGCCAGGGCACCAGGCTTATGGGGGGGCACTACTGCGCCAGCCCCCATTACCCCAGCTCTGCTGTGTTCCTCAGATGACTCCAAAAGCAGCTCCCCGGAGCCCGTTACACACCTGAAGTGGGACGACCCTTACTATGACATTGCCCGACACCAGATCGTGGAGGTAGCAGGTGAGTGGGCCTGGGCTGTCCCTCTTTCCTCACCATCTGGCTCCAGTGGGGGACAGGGACATGATGCTACCCATCCTGAGGCCTGAACCCAGCCTCGAGGCTCCTGAGCACCTGGACCTTTCCCTAAAGCATAGAATTAATTGTGGCCGCCATGTGACTGCCACTGACTCCTGCTCCAAACCCACGTCTCCAGTTGCACATGGTCCCTGGAGGCAGCGTGGCCTGGGCTTTGAAGTCTCAGGGCACTGGCTGGGGGCTGAACACTTGCTTCCCCAGGGGCTCACTGAGGGGTTTACAGCTGAGAGCCCTGTGTAGCAGGGCCCTGCCAGCAGCCAGGGCTTTGCGGGTCCTAAATAAGTGGCTGTTCTTTTCCCCTTGGCCCTCTGTCACCTCCACCCTTGGCCCTGATGTCAGCACAGAGCCCCATCTCTGTCTCAGAGGTCCACTTCCTGGGATGTGGGAGGCTTAGGTGGGGGATGAGGCCATCACAGGCCAGGTAGCTATACGTAGGGAACAAGCTGGCCCTGCACCGCGGCCAGTAGCTGGGTGAAACGTGTCCCTGAGAGCCACATAGTACTGGCTCAGGGGCCCTGAGAGAGTCCGCGTGCGTGGACTCTGTGCTGGGCAGAGGGAGGTGGAGAGGGACCCTGCCAGGGTGCTTCTGCTCTGTCTGTGCTTAGTGCCTGCTTGTGCCGTGAAGGGCCCTGGCCCTGGCCCTGGCCCCTCACCCTTCGGAGACTCAGCTGTTCCTCCGAGGCCCATCCCAAGCTAGGGGCCATGCAGGAGTCCACCCTGCCTCCTTCCTGAGCTCGGTGCAGCCCCATGGCCCAGGTGACCCAGGCTGCATGCCTGTGCCTTCCTGCTTGCTGTCCTCTTGTCTTCCTGGGTGTGATGAGGTTGAGGGCCCCAGCAGGGCGGTGCCGGTCAAGCTCTGCATGTGGACTCTCCGGGGACCGGGTCCAGTGTGGGGAGCCTGTTGCCTGGGAACAGAAAATGGCAGAGTTGAAGGGAGGCGGGGCAGGGAGGAAGCTCTGTGGGGACAGACAAAGAGCAAAGAGCTCCTAGCAAGAGCTCCGGCATCATGGTGCACACCTGTAATCTCAGCACTCATGAGGACAAGGCAAGAGGATGCTATGAGTTCGAGGTTAGGCTGGGCGAAAGAAAACAAGAGAAGAGACTGGAGCAAGAGCCTTTGTGGGAAGGGAGAATGGCTTTGGCCTCTTGCTCCTCTGCAGGCTGTGTCCCCTGTGCGGTTACTACTGTCACATTGCTTGGTCAGCTGGCCCCAGGCGGGTCCTTTCTGTGTTCTGGGCAGTGTTTCCTGGGAGGCTGTCTGGTTAGGGGAAAGACAGCCAGCATTTGTGGCATTTGAAATTTCATCACAGCTGCAGACAAGACCCAGACGCCCTGGCAGGTTAGTGGCTTAGCAGCTTGCTTGGGAGCTGCTGCCACCTCCCCGTCCTGTTCTGCAGGTTGTACAGGCCTGATTGGCCTGGCCTGGTGTGCAGGAGCTGTCCTGTTGCTGATTAACCCCAGGCCTCAGGGGAGAGGCCCTGCTGGCATCTGGGGAATGCAGAGGCTTGGCTCTGGAGCTGTCATAGAGCCCCTCCCCATGCTCGGCTCTAGGGACACTGCTGCCAGCTCTGTCTCTTCTAGGTCCACAAAGGGATGGGGGGAGCAGAATCTACCTCTTTTCTGAGGTTCAGCCTGGAGCCCCGTTTCCTTCCACCTGATTCTTTTTTTTTTTTTTTTTTGTGTGTGTGTGTGTGTGTGTGTGTGTGTGTGTGTGTGTGTGGCCAGCTCAGCCCAGCAGGGGGCGGGGCTGGCTGGCATGTGGTGCGGGGGATTGAACCGTGGTCCCTGTGCTTTGCTAAGCTTGTTCTAAGTAGGTGCTTTAGACCACTGAGCCATCTC